GAGGAGGGGTGTACAAAGAAAAACAATGTTAAGGACTTTGTTGTGAAATTTTTTTAGGGGTTTTGGTAGGGGGATGTATGTAAGTTTTTTAAAAATAATCTCATTGTTTATATATAAGGGCCATTCAACGATTTATCACTATTTTGAATATTGATTGATTGTTCCAAAATTTCAAACTCATCTATGCTAAAAATGCTTAGTCTAGCCATCCAAAAACTTTGTGGGGGTTTTTCAGCTATTTCAGTTTTGTTTTGTTTTTTTTTTACTCCCTCATTAAACTAAGGCTTGGACATGAGTGCCCGCCTATCACTCTTCTATTCACTGAAATACGTCCAAATATTTCCCCCATATTTTAATGTTCAAAAAAACAAAAAAAATCCACCATGAACCAAGTTGACATTCAACAAAGAGAGGAGAGAAAAAAATAAAAATAAAACTGTACCACTTCATTGACTTATAAATTAGGAAACGGTTACTATGCGTCTTATGACTCATATGTATAAATTAGCGCCCTCTTAAAAATCAGTTTCGAGATGGATTTTGGACCTAATTTTGAAGGGCAAGGTTTTGTATAAAGTACCCCCTTTATAACATGCAAGTAAGACGTACCTCAAAATTTTGTTAAAAGATGTAGTTTTGGTGTTTGAAACGTTACGATGATTGAAAATCCATGTTCAACCCTGACTATGAAATTTAAAATTTCAAAAAATATTGCAGATTGAGTAGATCTATACATACTTCAAAATCTTGAAAATAAACGGTCTAAATAACTCGTTACAAGATGAACTATTTTAAAGACTTTGAAATTCTTTTTTTCCAACTTTGAACTACTAGATTTTTGAGGTGCACTTTACTTCTATATCATAAGGTTGCAATGTTATAAAAACTTTTCTCAAATTCTAAAGAATATATAGTATCTAACCTGGAGATCATGAATATGTAAAAATAAATAAAATTTAAAACTGAAAATGATATTTTTATACAACTTTTGTTTTTCTCCAAAAGACTACCCATTTGCACCCATCTTTAATATTGATGTTTTATGCCTAAGGGGACACAAATGTAAAAACGAATCCCCGGATGCATATAACAATTTTCCTATAAATTACAGTACAGTCCATATGATCCTAGAAAAGCTATGGTCACGTAAATCATCACCATCTAATCAATTGATGGACAATGAGAATGCCATATTTATCATACGAACAAACTTAGGTCATCTTCAACGGAAATCTGGATAAAGGCATTGCTAGCTCTGAATTTAGTGCATTTTTTTATTCATTATTACAAACCCAGTGTTAGTAACTAAGATAACGGTTTTCGAATCCTTCAGTGATGCCATTGCAGAGTTCATCTACGTGCCCGCATCCTTTGGTCCCGGTTGCTTCCACCTTCACATGTCCATTATAACTTACCATGGATAGGAAAAGAGCCTGCAAGAGAACATGAAGATGGATGAGTTCTTTCTTTCATTGTCTGAAGCAGCGTTTTAAAAAACGCCGAGTCGAACCGGACTCGCCCGGTTCGACTCGGAAATAGTGAAAAAGGAACCGGATCGCCTAAAAATCGGAAATCGTCCGGTTCTAGAGAGAACCGGACGATTCTGTACAGTGAATCGCCGATTCACTGTACGGAATCGGCGAGTCCGAATAGTGAATCGGCGATTCCATACGG